GGCCCCCCCCCCCCCCCCCCCCCCCCCTCCTTTTGGGACTGCTCTTTACGAAACAAAACCTGCCGTCAAATGCACCGGCGTAGCCATTTTTCTTTTCTCAATTGACCTGTTGTCCCTCATCTTGATTGTGGTCTTTTTCTTATCATCAATGCTGGCATGATGCTGTGTTCGACTTTTCTCCGCGAGGGTTGCAAAATCCGTGTTCAGATTTGTTTGTGCTAACGAGTTTGGTAGCGGCATACACGAGTCAAAACAACCAGTGGATTGGCGGTGATGGGCGACGCTGCCAATTTATGAAATGGCAAAAAAAAAAAGAATATACGAGGGCGTTCAGGCCCGAGCCGCAACGTCACCTAGCTCGAGGATGTTACAGGCGAAACTTGGCAGTATCACCCCCTTTCTTTTTGCTGCGCTTGGCCGTGGGCATTTGCGCGCCCCCACTGGCCTGACCCATCAAGGCCTGAGCCTCACGCTTCGCCTACAAGAGTGAACCATGACGATTCATCAGCGCCACCATCGGTTCGCATGCGGCTCTTTGACCATGATTGCAAAGAGTGTAGACGCACCGTGGCTTGAAGTTCGCGGAAAAAGGTAGTAGATGACGTCAACTTGGCCTTGCTGGCGCCTTGGCCGTCCACAAACGTTGTGTTCTACGTATAAATATTGCATGCAAAAGGGGGAGTCAGCGCCATCCATGCGGTCGCATGACGAATGACATGCCCTTCATGACTGCCGATGCGCCACGATACAAACCGAGCGTCCAGAGGTAGAAGCTTGCTTGAGCTTGGTCATGGCGCGCTTCTTGGCTGATGTGGTCGACTCGGCAACCTGATCGTGGGAAGACATTACGGGGGTGAGGCCACGAAAGACACGAACACGGGGGAGTTCATAAACAATCAGCCAGTCTTGTGCAGACCAGAACACACACCTTGTTTTGATCTTTGAGGCGATCCTTCTGTTCACGGTCCAAACGTTCATAGTGCTTGACAGATTTCTTCTTGCGACGAGCACGCGCACGGTCTGTATCAGTGCGCTCTCCGTCGGCCACCTGCTCTGGTCGCTCAGCGGCATGCAGCTCTTCTGGAGCCAGGCGCTGTGCGCTGCTAAATGCCACCGGCGTTACTAAAATCGCGGACGACCACGTATTCAGCAGAACATGAGCGGCGATGTGAATATTGGCTCAAACCAACTGCGATCAGGCTTGCATTGGACTGACCATCTTCCATGGCCAGCGCGGGCGCCGTGCTGAGAACTGTCACCTCCTCCTCCGGTTGCGCAGGCGTGTAATGAAAGTTGGTCAAGGCGGTGAGCTTGCGGTCCAGGGATTGAAACAAGCGCTCAATCTCGGCATGCTTGCTTTCAAGCGCCTCCTTTTTGGTGTCGCGGCCCGTGGCAGCCTGCTGAAACTCATCCGCGTACACGTCGGCCAGACCTTGCTTGGATTTTTCAGAGTCCAACTCCACCAGGTGTCGGCGCTCCTTCATCTGTGATTGACGATGTTGTGTATGTGTGCATGCGTGTATGTGAGCGGGTGATGGGATTTGAGATGCACATCTCGGGTGGTGGTGGTGGGCCATACGACCCACCTGATCAAGTCCCTCCGTCTTGGGTTCGACGTCATCAAAGAGACCCTCGGCGATACGCTTTTTGATGACGTCCTCTAGATTGGCCGTGCTCTCCTGCGTGATCTCGGGTGCGGGGGCGGTGGCGTGTTCAAAATCGAGATCCTCCTCGAGCAAGCTGTTTTCCGGTCGCACTCGCGCACGGCTCTCTGTGAAGCATTGAAGGAGGTAAGTGCGCCGATTTGGATTGGCGTTGAGTCGAAAGAATTAAGCCCGGACAGTCGTCACGAATGAGGGAGCCATGAAAGGTCCGTACCGCCTGCCATTTGCCATGGCTTCGGGGCAATGTTTTCCTCCTCGAGCGCTGCAATTTGCTGCTGCAGTCGACGTTGTTGCCGCTCAAATGTTGAGAGATGTTCTGCCGCAGAAGTTATCAAGCCATGAATGCGGACCCCAAAAAACAAACAAAGAGTAAAACAAAAAGAGAAGGACAGAAAAACAAGGTAAAACAGGATGAGCAGGAGCCGAGGTGTTTGCTTCACAGACCTTCTTGATTAGCCTGTTCCTCGTCGTCACTGTCTGCCAAGAGATCCGCAGCTCCCGTGGAAGCGTCGTCTTCTTCGTCGTCGACTGCGTCACGTTCCTGGTCGCTAAACTCCTCTTCTGCATACACGGCATCCTCCTCTTCGGCCATGTCCTCGTCAGCACCCTGGTCCTCATCCTCGTGCGCCTCCGGGTCGCTCTCGACACTTTCCTCGGAAGCAACCGTTGCCTGAGCGCGCTTGGACTTGGCCGGCTGCAAAGGGCACGGCATGGGAATCAAAAGGGTGACGGGGTCAGGCGGGCAGTGCAGATGGCACATTGTTACACGATCAAAAAGAGGTGACAGGCACGCACAGCGTCGGCAGAAGGCGGCTTGAAATAATCGCGACCCAGGAGGCCGGTGACGTTATCTGCATCCGCGTCTTCTTCGTCCTCATCCTCATCGTCATCTGCATGTACCCGCCGCCAACACGAGCATGCGGTGCGAAAAGAGGGCGAATATGAGGCAGGGAAGAAGAAAGGAAAAAAAGCCAAATGATAGCTGAGGTCCAATAGACAGGGACCCCAGGTACGCCTACCACACAAACCACAGCAAGGCCAACACGACCAAGTCAAGGAAACAAAACACTGACCGGCAGCAAACAGGTCAACCTCGTCGTCATCCTCCTCTTCATCTTCGTCGTCGTCATCGTCGGCGCTTTTGCGGCTGCGACGCTTCGGGGCGCCCTCAGCTTGTCGCTCGGCGGCCAGCAAGAAGGCATTCATTTCATCAAGATCAAAGACTTCATCGTTGAGGAGGGCGGCACCACGCGACAGGGGTTTGCGACTGGTCTTGGACCGCTCCGTCATTTGTTGTGCGTCGGCTTGTTCAGCTGCATCGCCTTCGTCATCGCTGGCAAGCTCGGGTTCGTCTGCCTCGTCCTCGTCGGTGCCTTGGTCTTGATCTTCTTCGCCAGAGACCTCGGCGTCATCCTCCAGATCCGCCTCATCTTCGAGATCCTCGTCTTCGAGATCTTCATCCGCGTCTTCTGCGTCGAGGTCATCGCTGTCCTCATCTGCCGCATCAGGGTTGACCATGGCACCCAAAAGCTGTTCAAGGGCCTGGCTCAGAGAAGACTCGAGTCGATCCAAGGTCGGCTCTACTGCCAGATTTGTTTGTTCTAATTTGATGATTCGCATTGCGGTCGGGCGTGGGGTGAGAGGTTGATGATGCCTTGTGCAGACGAGAAGAAGCAGGGTATACTACGGGGTGACTCTATGGATCAGGCGTAGCATGGGCAGCAGGCACATACCCCAAAGCTGTTCCTCATCCACGCCCTTGGTCTGAGAAGCGACGAGGGTGCGGATACACAGTCAATCATGAGATCCATTTGTGCAGGAAAAGGGCTGAGACGAGCAATGTGGACCAGGGCGAGCCGTACAATAATGGAAGAGAGTGGAGGTGCTTGACCCATGCGTCGACAATCCTTGAAGCAGTCATTGTAAAGGAGGGCTAGGGTGTCCTTGAGTGTTTGCTCGGCCGTCGTGCGGTCATCAAGCGCCAAGTCGCCCTGACAGCGGCACAGCAATTTGTGGTGAAGGCATTCCAATGCAGCTGACGACGGGCCATGTGGTTGCAAAGAGTCACGTACCAGGGGAGGCAGCTCCATGGCTGCTGAATGCGGGGGAGGGTGAAGGGATTTGGTAGTCAGCCGTCAAATGTGCTCGGCAAACCTCCGACCAGCACCGCTCCAACACCACGTGGCGACGGCTCTGCCTGCCGTCAGCTCAAGCACACACACACACACACACACACACAACTCCAACGGTTGGTTCTCAAGCCCTCTCAAGCTGCACGTGAGAGACGACGAGAGAGACGAGAGACGAGAGAGAGGGAGAGAGAGAGAGGGACGAGAGACGAGAGAGAGAGAGAGAGAGAGAGAGAATGTGGAGCTGCCGCCTCGCGTCGCACAGAGAGAGAGAGAGAGATAACACGTGAACCTCAAAGAACTAAAAGCCGTCTCAAATTGTCATCACTTTCTTCTCTCTTTCTTGCTTGTAAGCTTTTTTCTTTTTGGAACCAGCTCGGACAGGCACGCATGATGATGGAGAGAGGGTGGAGAGGGGTTGTTGCGAGATGGAGAGGTGGTGAGGGAGAAGGAGGAGAGAGAGGGTGAGGGAGAAGGAGGAGAGAGAGGGTGGAGGAAGTTTGTAAAAAAATAATTGGGGTGCCTGGTTTGGCACGAGCGTTTCACTTTTGACACGCCAGATCAGAATGGCTGGTAGGAAGCATGTGGGGATGGGTGAATGGAAGCACAAACATGACTAAGCTATTGATTCCTCTTTTACGAGGAGCAGCAGCTGACTTCGAGGCGCTTGGCTGGCCACTGCTCTTGACCATCACCACGAACGTTGAGGGAGGATGGGTCTTTGGAGGTTGTGCCGGCCTCGTTGGCAACGCGAATAACCTCGCGCGCCAGTGTTTCAAAGGCCTCGCCTGGTGAACGGAGCGTCGTGAGTCAACGTGTGCCACATGCAGGTGGTAGTTTGTGTGTGTGTGTGTGTGTGTGTGTGTGTGTGTGTGTGTGTGTGTGTGTGTGTGGATCAGGGTGACAAAACGGGGTGAAGTCAAGAGGGTCGAGTGCAGTGCGCACCAATGTTCTGTCCTGTCTTGGCCGATGTCGCAAACCAGCCAAGAAAGCCGTGTTTGCTGCAGTACTCATCAAGCATGGCCTCGTCAATGGGCCCCAAGATGGAGTCGGCCTGCATGGGTGACCGGGTGACATGCCATGAGGTAGGGCATCGAGCATCTGAAAGGCCACAGCCGTGACCCAGCTTCAGGTCCTTCCCATTGCCTCACCTTGTTGGCAATGAGGATCGCGGGGACGCGATCACCGTTGGCCAGCATGACTTTGTCGTTCAAGTCCGTGTGCCACTGTCGATGCGTATGGTGGATATGAGTCCATAGTCATCAACCACAGTCGTCCACAAAGACAATTAGGGCAAGCAGGGACAGAGGCAGAAAGAGAGCGAGAGAAAGAGAGGGAGAGAGAGAAAGAGAGGGAGAGAAAGAGAGGGAGAGAGAGAGAGAGGGAGAGAGAGAGAGAGAGAGAGAGAGAGAGAGAGAGAGAGAGAGAGAGAGAGAGAGAGAAAGGGAAGAAAAACAAACAGAGACATCAAATATAATAAAAGGGAAGGTGGCACGGCAAGGCAGCGAGCGAGCCAGTGCTGAGCAGGAGTGTCGACAGCGGGGGTGAACTGGAATGGGGTGTGCCCGTTTGGATGCACTGACCTTGACGATGGAGTCAAAGGTGGCCGGGCGGCTCAAATCAAAGACCAAGACGGCAGCCATGGCGTAGCGGTAGTAGGTGCTCGTCATGGAGCGATAGCGCTCATGGCCTATGCCAAGGTTGCAGCGTCGCGACGGTGAGGTGCGATTTACATCAGCCCAACAATAGCATGCTTGTGCAACGCACCGGCAATGTCCCAGAGCTGCAGTGCGATGGGCTGGTCGTCAATGGTGAGGTTCTTGAGGCTAAAGTCCACACCAATGGACAACTGGGCAAGGATGAGGTGAGTGGCCCCATCGCGATACTTGTGAGGCACAATGTCGGGTTGGCCAGGCCACAAGTTGACTTGGGTGAGGCAGCATGACTGGCCTTACCTTGTATTCACTATCAAAGGAGCCATCGACGTAGCGCTTGATCAGCGACGTCTTACCGGTGGCATCTGCCCGGGAAGCGGAGCGCAGATGAGTCGGCAACGAGGCGCGGAGACATTTCTAGCCCCATCAGACCAGCAGGCGCTGTGGTTCTCAGGGCTACGTACAATCGCCAATGACCAGGACCTTGAAGCTTTGATCCTCTGTTGCCGCGGGAATGGGCGCTGGGGGGTTTTCGGCCTAGTGCAAGCTTACGTGAGCAAGTGTGTGCCGAGGCATGAAAGCGCTTCACACGGATCCGAATGACGATGAACCCAGCAGCAAGTAGCTTTGAGCAGGCGCAAAGACAGGACGAACCATCATTCTCGTGCAGTTCAACGTGTGTCAGCCGGTGGCGGACCGCCACGAGCGTGGTAGTGAGCGCGTTTGGATCTGCTAACAAATCAGCTGTGAGCCATCAAAAATCCAAATGCATTGTACCACACCGACAAGCTCCCCACGCCAACTGCACCCACCGATGCAGCAACACCTGATTCGTCCAACTTGATCAAGCAGGCGCGCGATCGGGAAAAGGAGAGAGCAGCGAGCAGAGAGAGAGCGACACACACACACACTTCCTCCTCCAGACGAGGGACAAAGTAGTAGCCCCCCTCCTTTCTAAACACCAACATCTGACATTTTTATCGCGGCAAGACCATGGCACCCACAAGTCGCATTAATTTGACAAGAGTATATAAAGCAAGGTGAAGGCTGGCGATAGCATACTTACCTGCAGGTGCAGTTCGGTGGATCACGTAGCACTGACTGTCTCTCTGAGAGTTGCTTCATTGCACGCGGAAGTTCAGCTTGACGGGAGTGCCGGGGCCTCGTGTCCCGCGCGACCTGGTCATTTTTGGTTTGTGGACTGCGTTCGCGCAGTCCACGCTTTTTATATTAATTTCAACTGAAAGATCACTCATCGTTTAGTTTTTGATTTATAGTTTCACACTGCAATCTGAAGAAACCTCAGTAACCTGTCTCGCAGGCGCTTGGCTTTATGGCGGAGGAGGTGTGGGAGGAGTTGGCGAGTTTGCATGCCATCTTTGGGCCTGCTCTTTCCACGCCGTGTCACCAGGATCATGCAAGTGTCATTCCACAGCTGGACTCGATTAAACCAGAGCAGGTGCGCACGCTGACTGATTTTGCGCACCTCCTGTCTCGAAGTGTGCCCTGGTCTGTGCCCTGGCTCAACTTTTTTTTTTTTTTTTTTTTTTTTTTTTGCTGGCATGTCTGGGTATTGAACAGCACTGGGTTGAGTGGTCCTGCGAGATATCAAGCTCGTCTGCGTCGACTTTGACCATCGGCTGGACCTTGACGGCACTGTACCCGGCAGAGCCGCCTCGCTGCGCAATCCTGCGGGCTGATGCCTGGCCCGTACGTGAAAGCCCCTTCTGGCTCGCTTCGCACGCGTGTGTACACATGTGCCAAGAGCCTTGCTGCAGCTCACCATTGTGCGCTGCGGCGTCTGGGGCAATGTGGCCGCTGGCGATGCTCGCAGGCCACGCGCCGCGAACAGGCACAAGGTGATCTGCAAACCTATTTACTTTCGCTGTGAGTGGTACCGCACCCTATCCTTTTTTTTCGACGGAGAGACCTGGTCTGGCTGTGGTCACTGTTGCTAGCATGTCTCGGCTGTTAGTGTTTCGAAGGACGAGGCATGCATGTACAATCAGATCTTGGCGGCTCAAGACTGGTTAAGTCGATCTGACAACGAGACTGCGGAGAAGCACAGGGCGGCTGATCCCGAGCCCACGGATGCACCTCAGCTTCAAAAGCCCCCGGCGCTGGCCACTCACGTCTTGATCATTGCCCTGGACCACATGCGCGATCAAAAAGCCTATGCGCGCCGCATTGACGAGGTTTGAGCCACGTGTTTTTTTTTATCTCTGGATCTATCATCTATACGCTGCCGGTTCTTCAGTCTTTTGAGCAGCGGGCCAGTCGTTGGCTCACCTCGAAGCTGCAGCTCACGAGCGTGTGTGTGTGTGTGTGTGTGTGTGTGTGTGTGTGTGTGTGTGTTGTGTGTCGATGGGCGGCGCGCAGAAGGCGGTGGCGTCCCAGCTGCAAGGGCACTTGGTCTTGGGGGTAAGGTTACGCTGTCGCCCTTCCCTCTTTGCAAGCCGTTCGGGCACAAGAATGTCTTGGCGCTGGCAAGCCAGCTAATATGAACGCCCCTTTTGGGAATACAGCCCGGGCGCAGCATCCGCATCTGTTTGTGGGGCCCCGAGGCCGGCACCCGCGAGTTTGTGCAATGGCTCCGCACGGCCAAGGTTGATGTCAACAGCAAAGGGCAGTCCTGCAAGGTATGCGGCTTGTGCGGGTGCGGCACGTTCAGACGCACCGGACTCATTCTACCCTGTTCCGGATACAGGAGCGGATGGCGCGGGTCGTGGCGGACACGACCTGCCCACCTGGGGCAGCCCGGCCAATGACGGAGCTCCTTCTTGGTTGTCCAGTGTTGCGGCTGGGATCGCGCTCAGAGCGCGACCTGGACAACGTCTTGACCGTGTTGCGCGCGCCCCTGCTAGCATCGCTCGGGCCTTGAAAGGAAACACACAACTTACACGCGACTTGACCTGACCTGAGCGAGCGATTTTCTTGCGACGCTTTTGGCGCTTTGGCGATGCATGGACACGGGCTGATGTTGCAGCCCCGCTTCGGGATCTTAGCAATCGCGGTCGACCGCGTATCCCAACCGCGTATCCCCACCGCCATCCTGAAGAATTCAAAGACAACCTCGCTTCCTTTTTTTCCTACTCATTATTCGTTCGTTTTGGGAGCCTAGATGAAAGGGTTGTCAGGAGGGGTAGGGTAGGGGGTTCGAAGGATATTGCCGGCATCAGCAACTCTGCTCAGGACCAGCCACCAACCCCCGCCACGTGCAGCCGTGTCTGTTTCTGTCGAATTCAAAGTTTGAGCATCACCCCCAAATGGTCGGCAACACGAGCCTAGATGGTGTGGGACGGATTTTTGAAAAAAAGAAGAGGAAAGGGCCGGCCATGCAAGTGTCGTCCGTACTGCAAGACGAGCGTTCGGGGCAAGATTCGCATCCGAGCAGGATGTTCCTCCATCTTCATGATGCCATGGTCATGTCCCAACCGGGTGAGCGATTTCGTTCTGGGGAAGCAGCTTTCATCGTGTGCTGAATGAAGCTGCTTCATCGTGTCATCGTGTCATAGGCAGGCGCGGCACGGGAGGAGTGCCGACGAAGCAAGATGATTCTGGAGAAACATCCCAAGACGTCGCTACCCCACCCGTTTGTGCTGTTGTGTGCCAAGTAACGTGTTTGAGGGTTTAGGATATGACATGCGATTGCATCACGAACCAACGCAAGCAACTTACTTCCCGCAAAACGGCAGAGGGCTCGTGCCTTTATTGGGCCAGATGTGAGGGGACTGGATGCTGATGTTGCATACCGCCATGATAACCCCGCCTCCGGATTCGCGAACCGCGCCGCCGACTGCCGCAGGGCCTCGCTGTCACCAGAGCGCTTCTTTCAAAACAAATTGTGCCCGCCACATTATGAGGATGAACGATGACGAGGTACGTCATGAGGGTCATTAACACGTAGGAGTTGAACGTCCCAGTTTTTCGATTTCCGACCACGTTGGTGATGTGGTGGCGAACTGGAGTCCTTGCGTGCCCATCGTGAGCAATCGCCCACATCCCCGACTTCATCTGCACCACCGCAACCGGACCCTCGTACCGGTAACGAACAAACGTGGGTAGCACACAAACCCTTACCTTCAAGCTCTAGTACGCGTTGGCGTTTACAGGACCCTTTTAGGTTTGGGTCACCCTGTGGGACTGTTGGTCGTGAACAAAACCGGACGTGTTATTTTGAAGAGACTGTCCGCCCCAATGACACGTTTTTCCGTGCGCCGACCATGTAAACATGCACGCGCGGGCAAAGATGGCGTCACCGGTCACAGCAGTGCGGATCGGTATCACGCAAAAAAAGCTCGCAATCGCTCTACTCATTGCTTGCACATCCACAACGGCTACCCCAATCGACCCACGGACATGGGGCTCATAAATCGTTTGCATCTGTCATTGTCGGGCGTGTCACCCATAATGCCTGTCATTGGTGCTTGACAGCTGGGAGCCCGCCAGCCGGAAACGATTGCATGCTTAGCCTCGGCCATCGCATGTAATTGCGCCGTCGCTCGCCCCGCCCCGCCCACCTACGTGTACATGTGGACCCTTCAGGGTGGAGGGTCATACACATGGTAGTGGGCTCGCTCTCTTTACCACGCACACCCGCGAGGCCAGATTATGTCGAGTTGAGGTCGCACTTCATGCAAGAGCCGTTGTGCCGCCCTTGGACCTGTGGGTAGAGCAGCGAATGGCGCTCCTTAATGATGGCCCGCATGCGTTTTGCGTTTGACGATGATAACAACGGCAGCAACAACGACAACAACGACGACGACTTGGATCGCCCAGGACGCAGTCATGCGTCGAGCAACCACCATTGGCATGCATCCGAATTAATTCTGGCTGCACCACAGCATCCCTCGTTGCCCCGCCTGGCACGTCAATCTGTCATTTAGGGAACAAATCCTCTCTCTCTCTCTCTTAAAAAAAAAAACAACAACCCTTGGCGCAGTCTTCCATAGCAAACGGCGCGTGCGATGCCTCAAGATGGCCGTGCCTTACTTTTGCCTCAAACGGGTCTTGGTGCCCAGAGAATACACGGCATTAGCTCTTGAGCAGTGCCGCCTTGCTTTTCCACCCACCCTTTTTGTAGCTTCTTCACCAGCCATACACCACAGAATCAACTTTTTTGCTTCGCTTCGCCGCCCTTGATAATTCAGATTTTCCACGAGCGTGCGCACCAGCTCATTTTCCTTCTTCGGCCCAGTTCTGAAGCCATCGCGTTGTTCCGTCACCGCCGGCTGTGTGTCATCTGTTGCCTTGCTTGGCTCAGCTTCTTGCCCACGAAAAATCACATCGCACGCCGCTTCGCCCCCATTTACCTCCCCAAGCGAACCCGCTGCCGTTTGATCGGTCTCTTTGCCTGGCCAGGTTGAGCACCGGGTCAGCTTGTGGCAGCCGCACACCCTCCCAATCCTGATCCTCTTGGGCCGTGTCGTTCCAAGCCAGCCGTCAGCTTCAGCTCGACAAGCCTTTGCGTCGCCGTCAGCTCCTCGTGGCTATCACCCCTTCCCTCCCTCAACATCATCGATCATCAGCAACAACATCATCGAGGTCGTCACCACCACCACCACCACCACCACGGTCGCCGCCTTGCCCATCACCCCGTCGCATCCGAAACCCACCGTTGAACAAGCCAGCATCCCCTGTTGATGCGTCTGACCACATTGCCCCCTTTTCGTCAACCATCAAGTTCGCATGCAACACCGTCCCAACCCGACGCCCAAGCCAGTTCTCGCTCAAGCGCATCCACCCCTTCCTTCCATCTCTCCGCCAAAGTCTCCGCTCGCCCATCCCTTTGTTTCTTGGGAGACCTGACGCCCGTGCTGTCTGCTGTTTGCTGTGTGGATTGCTTGCTTTCGTCAACACACACACACACACATCCATTGGTTTGGGTGATTGACGTGTGTGTGTGGGTTTGAATCGTTTCACACGTTCCCCCGTTGTTCTTGCTTGCTGTTGACGCCACCACCACCACCCAAGACTTCTACGACCGCGACCAACTACCACAGCTACAAAGGACCTTTCGTGTGTGTGTTTGTGTGTGTGTTTGTGAAGCCAACAAACAAGTGGAGCCAACCCTTCTCGCTGAATCCACACATTTTCGGGCTTTTTGTGATGTGTGGATGTGTGTTGCTGTTGGTCTATCGTACATACATCCGCTGCGCTCCCCCATTGTT